CCCATAAGGTGTATGATTCCGAGAATCATTTGACAATATCTGGTATAAAGACTGATTGAAAAGAAGACGTCATCGTCAATAGATAAAATTGTAGCTGCAAAGCTGCAAGGGTGAAGACACATGTAAGCTACATTTAAAGTCTCGTTGCAGTCTAGCTAATCGTTCCTATAAGCTTCAGAAGCAGAACATACCCATGGGTATGTTGGTTAGTTGTACCATACTATTGGTCTCAAGATAAGGGCCCAGGCGACCTGTTTTTCTGATGCGATGAATATACCCTTTATACCCTCGCCGCAGCTCGGTTCGAGTGCATCCCTCACCCCTGCACACAACCCAATCCCCGCACTCGAATATTACCGGTATTTCTTATATAGGAGACCAATAGTACCGGTAATATTGATATTAGCTGATGTATGACGCTAACAGGAACAGGCTCTGAGCCGGTATAGAAAAACCATCCCAAAAGTCATTTGACACCGTTGAGGTGACACCTACGAGGGGTGTTTTTTGAAGCGTACCAAAAACGCGCAGTTTCCAGGAGTCCGATTACACCCGGAATCAGACACCCCCCGAGGTAATCTGACTCTGGTTGGGAGTGTATGTTATACCACATGTCGTCAAATGATTCCCGGAATCATACACCGTGTGGGATCAAAATACACCCTCAAAATCCGATCACTCCCTGAAGTGACACCTAAAAGGGGTGTTTTTTGAAGCGTACCAAAAACGCGCAGTTTACAGGAGTCAGATTACACCCGGAATCAGACACTTCCTAGAGTATTATGACTCTGATTTGGGGTGTATTTTTATTCCATAAGGCGTATGATTCCGGGAATCATTTGACACCGTACGGTATAAAAATACACCCTCAACCAGTGTCATAATACCCTAGAAAGTGTCTGATTCCGGGTGTAATCGGACTCCAGAAAACTGCGCGTTTTTGGTACGCTTCAAAAACACCCCTTTTAGGTGTCATTATTTTTTTCAGTGTACCCCTCCCCCTGCTAACTGCCCACCCTCCAACAATACCCCCCCCCGTGGCCGCCCCTAGCTCCCGGCCCGTTGTGATCTCTGCTGACTGAGCACAACGCGGGTACGACCAGTTCCGGCACAATACGAGCATCAAATGACTCAGCAGTGGCGGCGGGGACAGACCTCAAAACTGCGGGCCGATGCGACGGATTTTCTGAACTTTTGTGCCCTTTGCGTTTTCCGATTGCTTGATATTTTGATTTGGGTTCAAGAAGATGCTATGTTTTATGTAAGAAGGCATGCTATTATCGTATGTTCTTTTACCAAGGACCATATTGGCTAATTGATCCATAACTGACCTTATGCCAGGTATCAATCATTTTGTACTGTTTTTCATCTAGTTGCCCAACATGCTATTGATTCGTTTCGTTTCCCATTAGCTTCTGGTCGTTATTTGTTGTGATGATTTTGCCGCTGCATCGTATATAAGAGCTACCAGCCAAATAATTTTGTTTGACCTATCACGTAAAAGCAGTGCTGCCGTCCAAAGGCAAAAACGCATATGTCGGGTCATGACCTGACCCGACATATGCGTTTTTGCCTTTGGACGGCAGAGTGGGGTGACCAATGGCCATTGACTAGCGACAATGATCGTCTAGCATGTCAAAATATCAGCCGTTGATCGGGAGGTCACGTGCTAACTGACCGGCCCGTGACCATATGTCACGTGGGCTACACTCACGTGCAGAACCTGTCATACGTGTTTAAAATGGACCGTAGTTCACGTGGTGGGAACGCAGTAGCACCGCGCCGGTGGCAGCGAAACACCTTCAATTATAAAGGGGGCGGGGGGCACTGCCGACTTTTGGTCCCACTCTTTCCATGCAACGCCCATAGGGCTAATGTTAAAATGTCAAAATGAAAGGGGACACGGTGCCCCGGTGCCCCCCCCCCCGTTCCGCCGCCTATGAGTGGTCCCCCTTCCTTTCCCTCCCCTCCTCACAAACGGAGGGGTATGTTGGTGGCCGGTTCCCACCACTACCACCTCTCTACCGTGACTCCCCTCCCCACTCTGTGACCCCTTTGACCTCTCGACCGGTGCATTAGTGACACGAGTGGGTACTCAGACCGACGCCCCAGCACAGATTGATGGCACCGTGACGTCAGCAGGGTGTGAAGGAATTCTTCAGTGGTCGTGAATAAATGGACGGTACTATCCTTGAGTGCCCTGGGGGTACCTTACTACCTATGCTGGCCGCTTGTGTTTTGATACGTTATTTTGGTATATTTCCAATGCTACTTTATGAATTTTCATTGGACGCGTAGGCATGGCAATGGCGTAATTCTTTTTTCCACCCAAAGGAAGGCGCTATACGGAGAATATCCCATTGCGTCATTGAAAAGTGACTTACACCTCTAATCGGCCAGCTGGCTGCGTGGAGTAGTGGTGAGCACACTCGCCTCGTGATCTAATAATTAGGGTTCGATCCCCGCCGCCGGCCGAGCTTTTTGGCGCGTTGTAGGTTAGGTTGTAGGTTTGTAGGTTGTAGGTTTGTAGGTTGTAGGTCTGTAGGTTAGGTTGTAGGTTAGGTTGTAGGTTGTAGGTTTGTAGGTTGTAGGTTAGGTCAGGTGAGGTTAGGTTATGTTTGTTTTTGTTTGGTTTGTTTACCAAGAAGCATCTTCGGGTATAGCGCCTTCCTTTGGTTGGAAAAAAGAAACACGCATGGCAATGACGAAATGAGGCAGCTGATTGAAGTAAAGGTTCTGCTTTAGAGCTATAGATGAAATCTGGATTAACCTTCGCCCCAGTGTGGGGGCATATGTTACCACCCTGTCACGTTTTTTGCGTGTGAATAAAAAACCGCGGCGCTACCGCTTGGGGTAGCTTTTGGTACATCAATTTTGGACAATGTGTGAAATTTTTGACCCCAGGTCATGTCAGGTCAGGTCACCAGGTCAAGTTAACTGACCAAGCCTAAAAAAGTTTGCAATCATGTCCAGCCTGCAGTGTTTGTCAGAAAGCTTTTAAACTTGGTGGATTGCATGCTGTTATGGGCGCCTACAATTTGTATATCCCGGATTTTTTATATCCGTGACCTAAGGTCAGGTCAGTGGCGTGACCTTTCCATTACAAGTCAAGGGAGAAAAATGAAAATACCTCTAGATCCGTGTGTACGCATAGGAACAGTCCAAATATTTCAGAATCACAGTGATTTTGACCACCCGCGATGACCTAGGTGTCATTTTTGCTGATAGCCTCTAGAAAGGTCATCCGAGGTCATTTGAGGATACAAACAGATTTTTGCCAATAACTCGCGATTGGAAAAAGATAGAACGCATAGAACGCTGGGGATGGTCTCATTGTGTTTGTCTTGTTGAGACGCATCGACTGATATGCAACATGACCTATTCCGGTCAGCTCATGACCTTGATCTGAGGTCAAATTTTCAAGTTGACCTTTCAAGGTCAAATTATAGTTCATTCGACGTGTCTCGGCGAGAGGAACACGATTCTGGCAATAGAAATGTCGTGGCTTTTTGTAGTCGAAAGTTATTGTCGAAAAACACTTTTCGTAAAAACAGCTATTTTTGGGGGTTTTGCCCTCTGGAGGCTAAACCGTTGACCTGAGGTCAATTTTGATAATGACCTTATCAAAAGAAGAGTTCAAAAGCTATCGATTGCTTTTCCATGCGTTTTTCTAGCTACCATAGTGTCTGAGATAACGGCATGTTTTCTGAAAAATATGACAATTGGCAATTTTTGACCTTTGATGACCTCTGGTGACCCCAATATTGCTCTGACATGAAAAATGACTGAAATACTTTCAAACGTACGCATTGAGAGCTATCGACTACTTTTTACCGCGTCTTTCTAGTCCTCTTAGTTTTTGAGTTAGAGGTGGATGGTAACATATGTCCCCCCCCCCCACTAGGGCGAAGTTGGCTGAGACCGCCACTGGGGCGCGGGTTAAGCTGTGAGTTATAAATATATTTCTTCTTCACAAGCACGTTCGAAAAAGTATGAAGTTACAATTGATTTCTTGAAATCATTGAAATATATTACCTGTCTTTCGACGCAGTTCTAAGTTCAGAAGTTCCAAAAATTGGTTGTCAAACGTGCCGTGAAGAGAAGACCTATCAAAAGCAGGTCCATTAAGGAAATTGTTGACGCAGCCCAGACGATCAGATGAGGACTTATCGCTGCAGTAAACCGTGCAATGGTGGGGGGGGGGGGGTCACCTTGTATCACGCTAGACTCTGGTAAAGCCCCGTAGCAAAACATGTTTTCAATATGTTTACTACCTGCCCGACTCGTCTGGTAAGCCAGTCCCGCCTGCTGCATTCACGAAGCGTTAACAGCATTCAGAAGTATCTAAACCTTGTCTGTGGTGCTCTCGAAAGGGTTGTCCAAAGACCGCCTCACTCTGGGCTGTATATCTATATTGAGGGCATCTGTACCCATGTTTGTATAAAATATCACAAGAAATGTTTCAATGTGCAGTCTATAAACACTGATATAGGAGTGAGGTGTCTGTTTCTTGTAGTTTTCTGTGGGTAGATTATTGCAATGCGCGGTTACATGTCGATTACTAATGTCGCAATATTCTGATAGATAAACGTTTGACCATTCCTTTAAACATTTCTTCTCCACACGTCACGCCACGCCTCCCCAAACATCCTACTCACGTCAGATAGATACGCTCTCATGTGAAAACGTATGAGTCAGCTGGCTCGTCTCTGTGAAAATTATCGACAGTTCAAGACGTTCTCCATAATACATATGTCTTTTACACCTTACTGCTGCTTCACGGCGCAAAACATCCCTTGATCTGCCATTGCCTAAAATCGTCTCTGACGGGACACGAACCCGCGACCCGTCACTCTCTGTCGCCGTCACGTGGCCCGTCTCCGCCACCATGTTTGACGCGGATCTGGCAGTCTGGCGGAATATCAGGCTACCAGCCCCCCCCCCCCCCTGTCACCCAGACGGCTCTGCGGGCCCGGTCTCACCCCTCCCCCTTCCCCCAGGTGACCATACGTCAGAGGCGGCCCCGCCCGTGAATAGCCCGAGGGTCTGTCGGGTCAGCCGTCGCCATGGCAACCTACACAGCTGCGGACGACCTTGGCACACTGGCCCCCAGCCCACCGGAGAGTCCGACGAAAACCGTCAGCTCCTCCACCACAGGTGAGCGGGGTGGCGTGGTGAGGGAGGGGGGGGGGTGCATGGGGTGAGGGGGTTCATTGTGTTCTGTCCCGTATGCATCCTTTTTGTTTTGTCCCAGTTGTAATAGGAATGAGAAGGCGGACACGTGCCATTTTGGAAAATGACGACAACAGATGAGTTTTGCACGCGTTTCTTAGTCGAAAATAGTTTCAGATTAGATTCGATAAGAAAACCTCATAAAAGATCGAAAAGAAGGAAACATGTGCGGAGGATTTTCAAGTCTAGGGAAGTTTTGAAGGTTGTAAACTACTTTGAACCTTTCAACATCATTGCGTGTTTATTACGGCCTAAGGCTTTCGAATGATAATGGAACATGGGACAAGGGACAATGGAAAATGATGGTACTTAGATAGTAAATTAACATTAAAATTACATACGAACCAAGCGAGCGTATAATGCCCGTTGGAAATTTTGGAAGTTGTTCATGAATTATATTTATGCATACAATTGTATCAATATTCGACACAACACATAATCTATTCATCAAAGGGGAGCAATAGCACATGATAGCAAGCACATTTGTCACAAAATACATTCTCTTTTCCATCGCGGAGAGTCCACAAATTGTCTTTCCCCGATGTAGTCTCTCAACATCGACCGACCCACCACGTGGTCAACCATCCCACTCTTGTTCAAATCATCGCGCTTCCAGATCTGACACGATGTCCGTCATGGCAGCCCACCCCCAGCGCCCGTCTCATCCTTGAAACGAGAGGTGTCTGGAAATTATTGATACGTGCGACACATTGCAATGCTTCGGTAAACGCGAACGCTCGAATTTCGTTTGAATGTAAATCGGATCGATTGACTTCGTTACACAAACAAACGAACTGTCGGAGCAGAAGTAAGCAGTCTGCTTGTTAACATGACATTCGATATGACTTGGGCTGAAATGGCTCAGGGTTGACCGCTATTTAGCGGACACTTGCAATATATAAACGATGACTCCGCGGAACGAGTTTTATTGATCGAATCCGGAAACGGAATTACATTTTTGTATGTATTAATTTATTTGTCAGAAGTTGCATCGGCCTACTTCTTGTCAGCTGTCAATGCTTCTGATGTCTTAAACGGAATCCCTATTACTACCAAAAATGAGTTATATTCCATTGTCCATGTAAGTTTCAGCAGGGGCGGTCGCAGACTTGGAGTTTGGGGGGGGCCAACTTGGCAAAGGGGCCCCTGCGCTGACCCGGGGGGCCCGGTGCTAGCTTAAAGGGGCCCACGGGCGTAGTGCACGGGTGCAGAAATCTAGGCCATGGCCGGTGAAGCGGGGGGGGGGGGGGGGGGTAGGGAGCGGCACCCGAGCGGAGGCTCATTGAGAGCTTTGAGGATGCACATGTCGAAAAGGTACCGAAAAGTGCATTTTGAAGCATTGATTATGTCAATAATTCACGCAACTGTGAATGGACTGCCGCAAAAGTAAAGGCGGCTAACTTTGCCATTTTCTTTGCAAAAAAACTTTGCCATTTTTTAAGATCATCGTGCTAAAACTTTTAACAGTGGGTCATCGGTATCTGTTCACTGTTCAATCACATGTGTTCCGACTTCCGTTTAATCTTTTTTTTTTTTTTGCTTGAGCACAAATGCAAATTTTGACGACCATTACAGTAGCAAATGCTTCGAAAGACGGATAGTGGGCAAAATATCCTAAATTTGTCGTGCTGCATGGAAAGTAGTGTTGCTGAGGAAAGGGGGTTTTGTTCCAGATTATTGTGGATGCAGAATACATTGTCTGCACTCACTGCAGAATTATTGTTGGTGCAATTGCGCCCACTGCACTCATGGTTCATACACTTATGGGTCCACCGATAGCGCTTCGGCGATAACTATCGCCTGGAGGCTGCAATGGGGAGTACGGTGTCAGACCCCCAGAGGCCGGCGTTGGACCCAAGGGTCAGCGAAGGGCCTCAAAGGCCCCAGGTAGGGCCCCAGAGGCTGATGTGGGCCTTCATAAGCAAGTGCGTGACGCCCAAAGGTAAGGCTTGAGCCCCCCAGAGAACATAATAGGGCCATCAGTGGCCGGTGTAGAGACCTCATAGGCCAGTTTGTGGGCCCCTCAGAGGCTAGTGTGGGGCCTCAGGTGTCGCTATGAGGCACTTAAAGACCGGTATGGGTCCTCAGAAGCCGGCATCGATCCTTCAGAAGCCAGTACGGGGCCCTCAGAGGCTTATAAGGGCAGTTTCGGTCCCAGAGACAGAAATGGGACCATCAGAGGCCGGTGTGGGTCGTGGGACCTTTAGAGGCTGGTTTGGGCTCTTAGGGGCCAGTTTAGAGCCCTCAGAGACCAGTACAGGGCCTGCAAAGGGCAGTTTGAGACCATCAGAGACCGAATTGGGCACTCAGAGGCTAATATGGGTCCTTATAGGCCAGCATGGAGCCCTCAGAGGTTAGGGTGGGGCCCTAAAAGACCGACATGGGCCGGCGTTGGACCCCAGAGGCCAGAAGAGGGCCCTCAAAGGTCAAGATGGGCCCTCAGACTAGGCCGATGCGGGCCCTTAGAGGTCGGCATCAGGTCTTCAGAAGCCCGTGCGGGGCCCTCAGAGGCTAAGGTGGGTCCTTACTCCTTACAGGCCAGCACGGGCCCTCAGAGGTCAGTGTGGGGCCCTAAAAGACCAGCATGGGCCGGCGTTGGACCCCAGAGGCCAGCGGAGGGCCCTCAAAGGCCAAGATGGGCCCTCAGACGCCGATGCGGGCCCTGAGCGGCCGGCATTGGGTCATCAGAATCCAGTGCGGGGGGCCCTCAGAGGCTAACGTGGGTCCTTACAGGCCAGCATGGGCCCTTAGAGGTCAGTGTGGGGCCCTAAAAGGCCGGCATCGGCCGGCGTTGGACCCCAGAGACCAGCGGAGGGCCCTCAAAGGCCAAGATGGGCCCCCAGAGGCCGATGCTGGCTCGACATCGGGTCTACAGAATCTAGTGCGGGGCCCTCAGAGACACTTAAAGGCTAGTCTTGGGACTCGAGAGACAGAAATGAGGCCACCAGAGGCCGGTGTGAGGCTCTCAGACGCCGGTTGGGCCCCTGAGGCCGGTTTAGGGGCCCTCAAAGGCCAGTGGAGGGCCCTCAGAGGTCAATACGGGTCCTCAGCGGTCAATGTGGACGCTTGACCGCCACTGAAGGGCCCTCAGAGGTCAGTGTAGGACCCTCAAAGACTGGTATGGGAGCTGTTAATTGCTGACGTGGGTTTCTCGAGCCTCGTGACAATCGAATACGGGCCAGGGCCCCATACGGCCATGGGGGCCCATCGGTTGTTTGGGGGGGGGCCAAATGATATGATGGCCCCCCCCTGATTTGCCTTTGGGGGGGCCATGGCCCTGATGGCCCCCCCCCCCTGCGACCGCCACTGAGTTTCAGCCTTAGGCATCTTGGTTTACGCATCAATCGTTGATCCAGGCCCGCAGGCTAATTTGAAACTTTCATGCATACAAGAACCTGCTTGGCTTAGGCACGGTAAGTCTCGGTATGGGTTTAGGGCTCACGAGTTTTCAATAAACGTTCGCGAACAATGCACCAGACTTTCAACATGAAATGAAACTCTGGTATTGACGGCCGAGTTATTACGGTAACCACTGCACGGTCGTCGTCAAAACACCAGACACAAAAATGCAGAAATCGAAACTACTCTAGCCATAGCCCTCCGCGACCCCGCGGCTGGCATACATAAAAAGCTAAGTGATGTTCCTTTGAATCGAACGTCGTGCATGTTGCCACAACCTTTGAAGGTGAAACATTTTCGATGCAGCGTTGACCTTTGTGAAAACACAATCCGGCATTCTTCAGACACCTTTCATGGAACGTTCAGGAAAACCAAGATTGACCTTATTGCTAATGTAAGCGCCAAGCTTGCATTTGTGATGGAAGACACCATCTCACGTGGAATGCGTGACATTCCACATTCCATTCGCATTCGAAACTGTTGGAACTTCGTTTTCGCACACAGCCTGCTACGATGTGCTGCTTAAATAGTAACTCATCATGAACATTGCACATAGCACCGGCGGCAAGATGCTTGCAACATCTTCATTCTACTTTAGTCTCACCAACTGCGTGAACAATACGAACTCATTGAGTCTATAACTTCGTAGCTCCGTTCATAACTTTGAGTCTGATTCACTTGGAGACCGATCCAGCTTTAATTATGCATTCCTTTCAGAGTTCTTATGTAACTTCCCTTTATATAATCCCTACAGCTGAGGTCTTATATCCTGTAGACACTCATTCTATTACAAGAAAACCAATCACACCAGGTCTCAATTTATTACTTGTTTTATCATGCTTTGTTGTGTTGCATTCTACCCAATGACTTTTCTTGTCTCGCGGACTTCCAACCACCAGCTCTGCGTGCGAAACCAGCCCCGGTCACGTGAGCACCACTGCAGTCACGTGTACGGGTCACGTGACCGGGTCACCTGAGGGGGACTTCAGGCGGGCAGTTCTTCTGCTTCCCTATAGGGTCAGGTCACACAGCGGTCAGTGGGGGGGGGGGGGGCACTGCAAGCTGTCTGATCTGGTTAGTGGAAGAGGGTGGAGTGGACACCCTTCCCCCTCTCCCCGGAGGGGGCGGTCCCAGTGGTGGCTAGGTGTGGGTGAACCCAGCCAAGTGCGCCTCGGGTCGATTGAGGTGGAAGGGACGTCCTGAGACCGGTGCGAGTTTGGGAGAGGAGAGGAGGGGTAGAGAGAAGAGAGAGAGAGAGAGAGAGAGAGAGAGAGAGAGAGAGAGACCTCTCTTTCTATATCTTTTTTTTTCTCTCTTTCATATCTGTTGATGACAAGTTGATAATCAGATTCGTTGTCTTCTTGATGGATTTAAGTACAAATTCCTTACAGCTCATTTGAAGTGGAAACGCACTTCCTTCGTTATTGTTTAAAGTGCTTCTGGACGAAACTTGCGCAGCCAAACACACAGACAAATTGGTTCTGTTCGTCTCCTCTTATCTCAGCCATATAACAAAGGAACGACTT